TCGTCTCTTCTCTCTCTCTCCTTCGTCTGTATATATATATATATATATATATATATATATATATAGGGTATAAAGCGGGTCTCTGTTTTTGATTTCATACATCAGATTGATTTAATTGTTTTTCCCTCCGTGGCGGTTAACGTCACGAAGCTCTACCGGACTCCTACCAAGAAGCACAACAAGGAAAATATTTTTTTTCCTTTCTACTTGTGTGTGTGTCAAAAGGAGGAGGCGCGCGCGTGTGTGTGTAGGTACGACTTCGACGTGATCTCGATCGTACCCCACACGTCTACTACCCGCTTTTCACTCCACCTTCACTTTACAACGCACGCGTGTTGAAGCGTAGGATCCGCTTCGCCCGAGTGAGGGACAAGATTGGTCTATATATATAGTAAAGAGAGAAGACATCATATCGTGCTTTCGGCGCAAAGAAGCATAGCGCCCGTGCTTGAGAAACACGAAAGACCTTCGAAGTCGGTTATCAAAACACGAAGACGGTAGAAAGAAGAAGAAGAAATACAAACAAACGTAGTTGTCTCATCGTATTCTCCGCAGCCTCTTACGCATCTTTTCCATTAACATTAGCGCTGTGCGTCGGCTTTTTTTTGTACTGGGAGTTTCGTGGAGGGCGTTTGGTGTCGTCGTCTACCTCACACCGATTTCTGCGTGAAGAACATATATATTAGGAAAGAGTCACACACTTTCTGAGAAACATCGGCGGATACCGGCGAGGGGGAAAAAGCCCTTTCAAAACAGTATTGAAGAGGAAAGCGAGTCCGAAGCTGCTTCTGCGTTGTTAGTATTATTGTTATTATTATTATTTGCCTCTTTTTTATTTTCTGGCGTGGTCTTCCGGTACAATCTCCCGCTTCGCTGTAATTCGTGGGCTTTTCTGTTTTTCTGCTCCGTTGGCGTTCGGGAGCGCTAGCCTTTTTGTTTTGGACCGCTGTCTCGGGGAAACGAAAAGAGGGGGGAGAGGCGCGACACCTTAGCGATAAGAGCATTCCCTCTTTCTCTAACTCTTTACCTTTCTTTCTTTTTTTTTTGGAATCAAACACGACTGTAGTTGTCGTTGCCTCTTTTTGTAAAGCGCGAAAGCACACACACACAATCGTCAACCCTCCTTCTTTTTTTCCCCTTTTAAATCATCTTGGTGTTTTAATTCATTTTTGTACTTCAACAGCTTTTCAACTTCTGCTTACTCCGCTGCCCTCCATTTTCTTTCTTTTCTTTCTGGTCCTTTCTGCGGTTTTGTTGTTCTGTTTCTCTCCTTCGCGTTTACTTCGGATATTCATTCTTCGTTTTCCTTCTACGAATCGCATAGGAGTGGTTGGCACGCACGAGCGGTTGCTGTGGCGGCTCCCCCCTTTTCTTTTTAATCGTTGCTCTTTTTCTGTTAGCACTTCTCTCTTTTTTAAACACTCTCTGTGCTTCTCTGCGCGTTGCAGGCGTTTTCTGTAACCCGATTCCTATTTGTTTGTTTGTGCTTTTGCCTTTGTAGTGTGTGTGCGTTCCTTCTCCCCGCCTTTTGGCTTCCTGCCGCTGTGGAAAGCTGTGCGGAGGACTGTGTTTCAAGCACTTCACATCGTGTACTTCGCATCGGCGTGACGAGGGAACATATCGATATGTAAAAAAAAAAACACCGACATACAGTAATATATATATGCATGTATGTTTCTTCTTTGTTCTCCTTGCTGTCGTCTCCTTTTTTTTCTCGTTTTGTTTTGTTTTTGCCTGCAAAGAAAAGTCGTTTGCTGTTGATCGGATTGCGTTAAAATAAAGCTTGTTTTTACCCCACACCATTGGAGTTTGACGTGTCCAGACGTGTTCACTTACACACACACACACAAGGCTCACACGCACAAATCGAGTTGACTTGTGCGTGTGGTGCATTGAGTATTGTTTTACATGATTGATTATTTTCCTCTTTGTTTCTATATATATATTTTACCTTCTCTTTTTTTTGACTTGTACACCACTCGAAGCATCAAACTTTTAAAAGCTTTTTTAGGTAGTTTTTTCCTTTTCCTTTCCTGTTCCAGCGATTCGACTTGGTGCTGTAACGACGGTATTTCGCGCCTCACAATTCTGAGTTTGTTTTTCTTCTTCTTTACTGTTCCCAGCACACACACACCCACCCACTCGCAAAAAAAAAGCTTGTTAGGATTGAAGAGCTCACGTTGACAACTTGTCAGCGGATCGGCATCTCTCCCTCTTCCTCTCTCTCTTTAACATTCTATTAGCTATACTGTTCTGTCCAGATAAAACTTTTCTTTACACACAGTGCCAGCGCGTCGTAGTAATCTGTCCTTCTTTCCTTTTTCTTCTTTCCTTCTCGATCAAACTTTTCATCGCTCTATACGGCGTAAGCAGAAACTTGTACCCTCGATTTATTCCCCCGTTGAGTTTCGCGGCCACGATAATATTTTCTTAATTTTTTTTCGATTTAAGTTTTCCTTTTCTCGTGTGCTAAATCTGGATTTTTTGTTTCTCCTTGTCCCCCCTTTTTTCTGTTTTGTTCGACAGCTGGGCTTCACTGCGGTGCATCTACACCCGCACCCACACACACACATAGACTTTGCCCTTGCCAGATCCGCCTTGTGTACGTAAAGTACTCCCCGTTCTCTTTGACTTGTTGATCAGCAGTCACGATTTGTTTGGCTCCTCTTCTTTTCTTTTTTCTCTTGTTTTTCATTTGAAATCTGCTTGACAACTTCTCCTTGTTGACGTCGCGATCGTTTTCGAAGAAAGTACTTTACTGCCTGTTTTGTTTTTCTTTGTTTCTCCCTCTTTTAGTGTTCTACGGTGAGTGATGCGCAATCCAGTAGGTGGCGACAACGCTGCCGCAGAGCAGCTGGTCGTGCTGCGGATGCTGCGGCTCTCAGCACGACGCAGCGCCGTTGCGGAGCTGCGCGCAGAGCAGGCCGCGAATGTGTCCTTTCCAAAATCCCATCCGTCCTCCTCTAATACGCAAGCGGAGCGCAAGGCAATCGCAGAGGAGGAGGAGGACGAAAATTTTACTGTGGTGGGGGCGGTGCGGTGCCCAAGCGGCGAGGCTTCTCCAAAGAAGGACTCGTGCAACGCCCACCGTCCACTGTCTTCCACTTCCAACTCAGTCGCTCACGAACCGACGCACCTTATCGTTGAGGTGCCTCGCAGCTACAGCGACACACCGACGGAGAAAGAGAACACATCAACGCGGGAGAAGAAGGCGGAGGTCAAGGTGGAAGAGGAGGCGTCGTTGGTGCCCGTGTCGTCCACCTCGTCTACCGCCGCCTCTCCGCCATCGCCGCTCTCTCCGATGCGACGCATGATGGCGATGAAGGGCGTGCGCCCGATGCAGCCGCCACGCAGCAGGGACGTCGTCCCACCCCATCGATCGCGCCTCAACATCCGCAACAGCACTAGCATCAACAACGGTGATAATGATATTCTCACCCCCCTCAGCCGCGAAGGCAGCAGTGGGGAAGGGGGAGGGGGCGATGCAGGTCTGCCGAGCGGCAGCAGCGGCAGTGCGAGTCGTGGCAGTCGCGTGGAGGCGGCGAAGGCGTCGCTGCAGCAGCAGGTGGTGCACCGTTCGCTTTCGTCACTTGGGCTGCCCGTGTGGACGGGTGTAAGCGTGGCCGTGCAGCGGCGACGCGGCACGACACTGCTGGAGGACTCGCCGACGGTGCCGATGAATGCGGGGCGCGCGGCGTTTCCGTTGACCGATGGTTTAGACAGGGCGGAGAGGGGTGCGGTGACGCTAACGGTGCCCCACGGAGAGGGCGGGGGAACGGCGAATGGAAAAGACTCTGTCGACGTGTCAAAGCAGGACACACCGTTGAATGGCATTAGCACAGCGGCAGCGACAGCCACCACTCTCTCTCCTGTGGCCGCGGTGTCGTCCCTTTTAGACCTCGCAGACGTCGACGACGACGGCGGCGGACGCGACGGGCTTACCTCCCCCATCGAGACCCGATCCTTTGCCGAATTTATCCAGCGCCTGTACACCGCTCCGCTCCCCCCCGCACCCACCCCTCTCAACTACGACACCGACAGCGGCAGGGCGCCGGCCACCACGACACCAGTTAAAGCGGACGTGGGCGGCATGCCGTGTAGGACAGTCCAGCACTTCACCCCGCTGACGGGCGCCGGCTCTCTCGCAGCGACCTCGCCCGGCGCGAGTGAGAAGTCGCTGACGGCGTCGTCGTCCCTCGCACAGCCGTTTCTTATCCTTACCTCTCCCCCTCCCTACGCGGAAGCCGCGCCGCAGCACGCCAGCCTCGGAGCAGGGACCTTCACCACAGCGCAGCAACTCATCGCGCACGCCCGACTGACGCAGCGGTGGACAATTGCGGCCTCGCGCAGGTGGTACCGCTCGAACACTGACAGCACCGACAAGGAGAATAATAGTAACGCCGCGACGCCGCTGTCTTGCGCGGATTTGCTGCTGCAACAGCAGCGGCAGCCGTCGTCCTTGATGGGGTGCAAGCCGTCGGCGAGCAGCAGCAAGAGTGCCGCCGCCGCAGCGATGCGTTCACCTTTCGTGCAGGACGGCGACTCAACGTTGGTGAGTGATCGTGTGGACGCCGTGCTGCCGACGTGGGCGTTCCTCGCCTCCCACATAGCCACTGCGCCGCTAATGTCGCCCCTCGCTGGTCAGCCGCTCGGCCCGGCAGCCGAGTCGACCGCGTCGCTATCGTTGTCGTCGCCGCCGGCGAGCCGTCGCACGCGGCAAAGCCGTAACAGCAGCTTCTGCAGCTCCGCGACGAGCGCTGCCGCTCGCGACAACGAGAGCTGGACCAAGGAGGGGCGGTTTGACCGGCAGTCCTGCCTGTTCCCGTACGACCTAGCGGAGGCGTGCGCGTTGGGACGACTGCGGCGCGGCAGTCCACCACCCCGCAGCGGAGAGGTAGGTGTGGCGGAGGGTGCGGCCGCGTCGTCGAGCTCGCTGCATCTCCTTCGTTTAGAGTTTCTGGTGGATGTGCAGCCGCTTCCCCCGGCCGTGTGCAACGCCTCATCCGCAGCGCGGCAGGCGCTGCTAGAGCAGGCCCTCGAGGACTTCGCCGAGTCCGGTGTGCTGCCGACGACGGTGCTGCGCAGTGTGTTGAACGACGCGGCGCTGCGGTTGCTGTGTAGCGTGGACAACGCCGTGCTACGGCGCATTGCGAGGGATGGTGTGGCTGGCGCAAAGGCACATAATGGGATAGAAGGCACGACGACGACGCCACTCTCAGCGGATGCCGTGGTTGCCGCCACCGGGTCGGAGCCCACCGCTGCGCCGTGGCGTGCGGAGGCCGTGCCGTTGAGTCTGCACGTGCACACCGTACAGGGCGACTTGTCGACGGCTGCTCTTAGCTCGGCGCACTCCGCCGCGGCCTCCACGATTTCGGAGGACGCGGACTCGCTCTGGCCCGTCAGCGTGACGGCGGCTTCTGCCGCTCCCACCCAACTGATCATCACCGTGCTGACGCACGTCTCGCGGACGCCTCTGTCGCCCGCCGTGGACGACGAAAGAGAAAATCAATCCGAGTGTCCGGCAGCTTCAACCCACCCCAACAACGCAGGCCATCACGCAATGACCGCGGACACCGCCCTCGCCCTCGCCCAGGCTGTGCTGGTGCACCTCTTTCCAGTGTCGTTTGCACTCTCCTACCACACCACACGACTGTCTGTCTCGAGCGTGGTGGACTACGACGCGCTCTGCAAGGTGCCGGACAAACCAGCAGCGGAGCACCTGGAGAACGCAAACGGCGAAACCAATCCCCCTCCAGCGTCCGCGACCGCACCGCGACCGTGGACGTGGGTCGACGTCGATCTCACAGAGCTGCGCGCGGCGTGCGGGGTGGCGGAGCGGCCGCCGCCTTTGTCGAACCTGCACGCTGTTGAAGAGCCGCTCGCTGCGCATGACGTTGGCGGCGCCTTCCATGGACTTCCACGCTCGGACTCGCCGGTGGCCTCGCGCACGAAAACACGCACGCGACGCTCAAAGAAGACGTCAGCGGCCTCGTCGAACGCGACGGCTCCGCCTGCCGACGGAATGCCGGCAACGACGACCGCTGCAGCTAACGGCATCCATCCACATCAAACGCACGCGCTGCAGGATGCTCCGCCAGCGGGTGAAACGCCGCACCTCGAAGGCGGGGCGGAGGTGCAGACAACCAGTGAGGAGACGGACGAAGAGAGCGTCGATGTGGCCGGCGTCAGCGAGGGCCAGCTGCGGTGGGACGTCGACGAGGAAACACGTGAGCTGACGACCGCGGCCGAGGCGATGCAGCACCAACTGGGGCTGATATGCAGATGCACCGAGGTGCTGCGGCAGTTTGTGGAAGGTCAGGAGGACGTGAAGGAAGCTCCGCAGGGAAGTGCGAAGGCGCAGAAGACGCGGAAGGGCAGAGCGAGGGCGGCCGTGGCAAGGCTGAAAATGGCCGGCCGGCCGTCGTACGCGGAGGAACTGTGCGACACCATCAAGACGACAACTGCAGGCACGACGGCGCTCTTGATCGACGCGACACCTTACTGCGCCCTTTCTCGTGCGAAAGCCGACGACTTGGTTGCGGCCGAGGATGAGAAGGGGGAGGATAGTCGTAGCTTGCCAACGACGCTGCGTGATGACGCCGCATCGAAGGCGGGCGAGCCGTACGCGGCACAGGGCGGCAGTGGCAGCGTTCGCCCGCTTCCCTCTCTTGACGCGCCCCACACTTTATGGTCGAGCTGGTTTGAGCCCTTCGCCGATTATCTCTCCAGGGAGGTCTGTGACCCGTTGGAGCAACTCGAGGCGCTTATTTTGGAGTCCACCAGCAGCACCGTCGCGTCGCCCGTGGCAGCCACCGTCGTCTCCGTCAGCGTTGAGGAGGCCAACGGCAGCGTGAATGACGGCGGCGCCGTGCCCACTGCCCCGCGGAACGTCGTCGGGGCGCGGGTCGTGCTGGGGGAGACACGACGACAGCGCCGATCTGTCGCGGCAGCCGCACGACAGGCCCAGCGGCCGGGTGCTGATGCCACAAGGCTGCAAACGGAGACAGGGAACAGTACAAAACACCTGGGAGACAGCGCTGCTACTGCTGCTGTTGCCAGTGCTGACGCGGCCTTCCCATCGCCCCCGCTGCTGCCGTCGTTGGGACTGGCCAGGGCGATGGTGCGGTTGTGCCACGAGATGGCGGACGGGAGGTGCGTGTCGTGCAACTCTGTTGCACAACCGACTCGTTCGCTGGAGGGGGCAATAGGTGGCAGCACAACAGCAGCCGCAGCGGACGAGGAGAAGGCCGAGGGAAAGACGAGGTCTGCGGACGGCGCGCACGTGTCGCACCCCTCTCCGCTCGTCTCGTTCTGTCACGCCGCCCATCACCGCACACTCTCCACCGCGTCCGGGGCGTCGGCACGTGCGCTGGGGTCCGCCAGCGTTGCGCAGTCGCTTCAGGAGCACATCCACGCTGTACGTGACGTGCTGCATCGAGTGCAGACGCAGCTGGAGGCGGAGCGGCGTCGCTGGGCTACACTGCCGGAGTTACTGCCGTGCTTGGCGGCGGAATGGAGCTCCGTGCACGAGATTGTAGACGAGGAGGCGTCAACGCGGCGGCAGCTGCAGCTCACGTGTGCGACCCAACGCAGGAAGACGTCGAGGGACGCGGAGGCCCGACTGGCGAAGGACGCAGCCATCGCCGATGCCGAGGCGGCAGCTGCAGCAGCGAAGAGGGAGGAAGAAGAGGTGGGGGAAGAGGCCTCTAAAGCGGCCCCGCCACCGGCGCTCTCGTCAGCGGAAGGTAAAGGGGTTGAGGCTCCCTTGCCGAAGCCGACCGCAGCGGACCAGACGGAGACCGCACCGCCAGCGGAGACGAGCGTTGAGCACGGCGGCGCCGCGCAAGCCACAACGCAGGGTCCTCCTGCCGTCCAATGTCCCCACAACACTGCTGCTCCTCATAGCGCGGAGGTGACGCGGCAGGCGAGTGGCGCAGACGAGCAGGAGGCGGTGGAAGCAGAGGATTCCGCGACGCAGGCTATGCGCGGTGCCGCGACGGTGAAAGCCATGAAGGAGGCCGACAAGGAGAGGGTACGCGAAGAGCCTTCGCCGCCGCAGCCACCGTCGTCCACGTCGTCTCCCACGACCCCTTCACCTGCGACGGACGCCGCATTGCTCGAAGAGGAGGAAGAACAGACCACAACAGAGGCGGTTGCCGCTACGCGTGGGCTGGAGACGAAGACGCGGGCGGGCGACAGCAGCACCGCGTCCGTCGCCTCAGCGCAGGAGTCCGCCTCCTCCTCCTCCGCCCCCACCACGTCGGTGAGGAAGCAGGCCGTTCCTCAGCTGTCCCTTAACACGTCGGATGTCGCTCCTCGAACCCCGCCTCGGCCGCTGCAAACCGCACCCACCAGTAGCATCAGCAATAGGGGAAGCAGCAAAGGCAGCACGGTGGCGACGAGCAACGAAAAGAAGCTGCGCCACCGGAACAAGCAGCAGCAGCAGCAGCAGCAGCGTCCTAACGCAGCCCGCATCTCAGCTACGGGCACCCCTATCACGACCTCCTCCGCCGGACTCCGATCGCGCACTTCTTCTTCCTCCTTCGCGTTCCCCTCTTCCACAACTGGGCCCTCCAATTCTTCTGCTGGTGTCACCGCTTCCGCAAGTAACGGCAATCATGGTGCGATGCAGGTGGGGCGGCAAGCACCTCAGGACGCCTTCCATGGTTTGCTGAACCTGCACGTGGATGTCGCGCTGCTTCGCGAAGCCGCGCCTTTCATCGTCCTTGGAACCGCTTTGTTTTTGCTTTTCCTCCTTTTGTAGGACTCCGCTGGGACGACAAAGTTTGGGATATTTAACTGCTGTGGCTATTTCGTTTTCCGTGGAGGCGGTTGGTGCGCGTAAGGTGGAAGCAGCGCACCTTCTTTTCTTTGTTCTTTGTTCTTTGTTTCTGGTGTTCGCCGCTGTTATTGTTCAGTGTTCTTGGCTGAACTCCGATCATCGCGTCCTTTTTTGTGTCTTGTTTGCGTTGGGTGTTGAGCGCATCGCGCTGGTTTGCGCCGAGCGCGTCTTTTTTTTTTGGTTAGTGTGGACGTGACGCTGCCTTGTTCAAAGAAGAAAAAAATATAATATTCTTCTGTTATCTTTTGGCGCTGGTGTTGCCAGGCTTTGCTCCTCGTCGGTGTAAAACAGAGGTGTGTCCTTTGCTTTACCCTCACACAGAGTCGTTTTGAATTTACGCTCTCTGTGCTTTGTTCTCCTTTCTTTCCGTGTGTGTCTGCATTTCTACGCTTGGCGAGTGCAATCGAATTGACCTAACAATAATAATAATCGTTATCTACGTAAAGAGAATTCTCCAGAAACAACGCGATGCTTCGGTGCGGAGGTTCGGACACCTGAGCTGCGGAGTTGGGCATGACGCGGCAGCATCAGGAAGGATGGTGAGGGAGAGAGAGGAGGAGAGAAGAAAGACTGGACGGAGAGGGTGGCACGGTGTTTCGCGTGCCGGCCGCGAATCACTGAGGTATTTTTTTCTTTCATTCCTGGCTGAGTGCCAAACACTTCCATCTCTTTCGACGGAGAGAAGCCGCAGACGACGCACAGCGCGGGGGTGACGACGTGTGAGTGCTTTCATCAGGGTAATGTGACTTATTCTACCGCGCCACCTCAGCAACTTCTCGACGTGTTCCGGTTTTTTTTTTTGAAGTTCTCTCATTCCTTTACTCCTTCTTTCGCCTTCTTTGACTCAACGTGAATGGGGTGTTCACTGATCGTGCTCTCGCACCACCAAAACTGCTACGCACTCACACACACAACCCCCCGAATCACACTTCTTCAGAAGAGAAAACAAACAAAAGAATTAAGAAACCCTTCACACACACATTACCTTCTCATCACCATTCCAGAGCGTCGAGAGAGATAGAGAGAGGAATCGAGTAAAGGAACGCGGTAAAAAACACTGTTGTGGTTAAGCGGCGGCAGAATTCGCCGTTTCATTGTGTTCTTGTGACGTTGATTGTCCTTTTCCCTCTTTCTCCAAATACATATATCGGTATTACGTCGTCTGCATCTGCTTGTGGCGCTGTTCTCGTTGCCTTCAGCGACCTCGTGTGTGTGCGTGCTTGATTGCGTGTTTTACCTTGTTGGTGTCGTAAAAGCTTTCTCAAAAGTAAAAGGAAAGTTCTGCTTGCTGGGGAACCTTCTCCTGTGCTCCTCGTTAGCTCTTTCGCTCTCCCCCCCCCTCCCCCTTCCTCGTTCTAGAAACAATGAGCCACCGGTACATCTTCAAGTACATCATCATCGGTGACATGAGCGTCGGCAAGAGCTGCCTCATGCACCTCTTCACCGAGCAGCGCTACCGCAAGGACCTCCCGCACACCATCGGCGTCGACTTCGGCACCACCATTGTAGACATCAACGGGGAGTTGGTGAAGCTGCAGATGTGGGACACGGCGGGGCAGGAGCGCTTCCGCTCCGTCACACGGGGGTACTACCGCGGGGCGGCAGGGGCGCTGCTTGTCTACGATATTAGCCGGCGCGCGACCTACTCCCACATCGGGACCTGGCTGACCGACGCCCGCGCCAACACCGGACCCAATACCGTCTTCATTCTTGTCGGTAACAAGTCCGACTTGGAGGAGCAGCGGGAGGTGTCGTACGAGGAGGCTGCCCAGTTCGCCGCCGAGAACAACCTTCTCTTTGTGGAGTGTAGCGCGCTGAACGGCAACAACGTCGAGGACGCCTTCATCTCGACCGCGCGGAAGATTCACGAGAGGGTGAAGAGTGGGGTGATGAGCCCGACAGACCCGGAGAGCGGGGTGCAGCTGCATGCGGCCGCCATCCCGACCTCGACGAGCACCAGCGGCGGTGGGGCTGCCGTAAATTTGAACTCCGGCAACACCGGCGCAGCCACCGCTGCGGAGTCGAGCTGCTGCTGAGTGAGGAGAAGAGATGGAAGGCGATCAACCGAAGTCAAAAAGTGAATGGAGGGTCCATTTGGCAGCTTCTTCTGGGGCACCGTTTCTGCACTTGAATTAAACAATTACAACCGATAATATCGCGGGAGAAACAGTCGACATGTTTCCTGGGAAGTCTTCCTTTCCAGGGGTTCATGTGCCGTGACAGCGCAGCGCTTTGCTAACTCCGTATACCGCGTGAATATGGAAGGGCTTCTCAGCTTTCACTTTTTTCTTTTTCCACCTGCTGCTTTGGTTTTGTGTAGGGTCACTACGTCGTGGACACTAGACTATGTGCACCGCTGCTGTGCCCTAGTTCCTTTTGTTTTTCTTGAGATATGTGGTCGTTGCTGTTGCCGCGCTTCATCTTGCGCTTTTCTCCTATCTTTGTTGTCGTGTTCAACGGTGTCTGTCCGCCATTCTTTGCCGACCTCCCCAAAGAAAACAAACGATGACAAAGAGGCGGTGCCTTCAAGAGTGAAAGACGGCGAAGCGATCGAGCTCAGCTGAGAAAGGAGGCACGCAGGGGAGTTCGGTGTCTACGCGCTGTATTATTATTATTATTATTGTTATTATTATTTTTTAAAGGTGGGGTGGGGCAGGTGCAGAGGTCTATCTGGTGCCGCTGCTATGATCCCACTGCGCTTGTTGATGCTGAGGTGGCTGGCGTTTCTTGTATGCGAGAGCTGCACGCTGCTTTTCTCGTTCACGCATCCGTGCAACCCAGCTGAACGCGGGGCGTGCTTTGTTGGCCAATTATGTTTTTCTTCGGCGTTTTCCTCCGTGCGCGCCGCCACCGCGACTTCCTTTCACCCTGCACGGTTCGACCTACTTACCCACCTCTCTTCTGTATTGACACGAACTGATGCTCCTATACCCATTTCGTATGCGCTGCGTGTTCCATCAACATGACCATCACTGGCACGGACAACCTTACCGTACGCAGCCGCAAGTGTACTTACGGCCACACCCAACAGAAGCACCACCGCCAGCGACTACGCTCTCCTCCCAAAAAAGAGAAAGAGAAGCAATAATTCTACGAATCAGAATACCATACCGCTGCAGATGCCGCCGTCGCACGTCAGGAAGGAGGAGGCAGAGCTGCGGCAAATTGCGAAGCAGTCCCGCAATGCCCGCAAGGAGGCGCAGGAGCGAGAGCGCAAGCAGCGTCAACGCGCCGCGCGCATTGCTTCCAAGAATGGTGAAGGTGATGCCGCCGCTTCAAACGCAGAACCCAAAAAGAAGCAGCGCGGTGCGATCATCATGCCGGATGAGGTAAACGAACTCCGTCAGCGCCTTATGAGCGGCGACGCGGGTGACGCGCACCCTAGAAGCAATGCAGCTGGCGGTGGGAAGAAGAAGCCGAGCGCGAAGGCCGCTGCCGCTGCTGACAGCGAGAAGAATGTCGACAGCAACGGTGATGCGTCCGCCGCTGCTGCCGCTGTGGCGTCCTCCACCTCGACATCGTCCTCCTTCCTAGTCCCCACCTTCCACCAGGAGGTGCACTTCAAGAAGAAGGTGTTCTTCGTGGACGTCGTGCTGCACCACGTGCCACACCAGATGATCGACGTGAGCGAGACAAACAATCGCCAGCTCGTCGTCGACACGACCGCCTTCACGAAGAAGTACCGCTTGGTGCTGCCCTTCCCCGATGGCATGCAGTGCGATGCCGCGGCTGGGGCCTACGACTTCAAGCAGGGGGTGCTGTCTTGCAAACTGCCGATTATGGACGGCACTCTGCCGGCCAACCTCGAGGAGGAGAACGAGAAGATGGTGGAGAAGATGCGAAAGCAGAAGGCACTGCGCTTCCGTGTATCGCAAGACGGAGACTTGACGGTGCGCACACGTCAGGCACTGCTGGCCGCGACGCCGGCCGCACAGGCGGCGTTGCTCGAGGCAGCGAAGGAGGCCAAGGCGAAGAAGACGGCCGACCCCGAGGAGGCGGAGGCAAAGGGCAAGAAGCGCACGCGTAAGACGGACGCTGCTGCTGCAACGACGGAGGAAGAGGAGGACGAAAACGTACAGCAGCCCGTCAAGGCGTCGAAGAAGGAGGCGAGGACAGCGGCGGCTGTGGCTGTTCCTCCGAAGGAGGCGAAGCCAGACGTTTTCAAAGCTGAACACGCAAAGGCGTTGGAGGCCGCCAAGGCAGCTGCCGCGAAGGTCCACATCTCCGTGCGTGAGAAGATAAAGCTGGCCAAGACGGTGTACGCCTCACGGCAAGAGCGTCTGCAGACTCGCTCGCAGCGGAAGGAGCGCAAGGACGAGCAGCGGCAGCAGTCCTTCCAGCGTGTGCTGGAGGAACAGAAGCGTCAGCTGCTGACACGTGCGGCCCTGCAGCAGCCTCCGGCCCCACGTGCGGCCTCCAAGTCCGACGGCCCATCCAAGTCGGTGCGCTTTGCCGATGAGTAAAGAAAAAGAAAGAAAGAAGGAAAGACGGAGGACTCCTCCTTGTCTCTAGGAGCAGACCCCCGCTGCCCTTCGTGTGTGTGTGTGTCTCTCACCCCCTCTCTTTCATGCCGGCTGTAATGATACTTCGTGTTGTTTGATTTTTCTCATCTCGGAAAGATGGAGGCTAATTGCCGTATAAACTTAATTAAGGTGACAATCTTTGGTTTTCTCTCCGTTCTCCTCGTTAAGCCGTAACGTATAACTTAAAGAGCTTCGCAACAACTTCATTGACGGGACTGGTAAAGGAACTTCGTCTTCCCGGCGTGGTGTCGGTGTCCAAGCAGGACGACATTGGATGTTCTTCTCCGTACGCGACACGGGCGTTGATGCGTTGTACCGTGCTGGCTGAGCGGCTTTAATGGAGGTGCTGCAACGCTCCATTAAGTGCAGACAGTAGGAAGAAAAGAAACAACACCCACACGCCCGCACGCCCGTACGCACGCTTCGAGCCGAGTTTGTTGTCACTGTTGATGTCAGTTTTCTCTTCATCGGGATTATTCTTCGCGGCTTTTAGAGTGCCAACAGTGTTTGTGCGTTACAACGTGCCGTACATCAACCTTCGCTGTTTACGTTTATTCCCAACACTTCGCATCTCCGCTGTCGCTCCTCTCTAACGGTGCCGCATGAACCAACAACAGAATAGAAGTTATTGAGACACACACACCAGATCGAAAGGCCGTCATTCCTGTTAAACCGTGTCTCTTTTGCGGAGAAGAGGAATACTAGTAATCGAACGACAAACGACACCATGCCTGTGAATCGAGGCAAAAAGATTGTGGATGCCCGGCCCCAGGCCGCGGAGGCCGGGGTGGGAAGTCTGCCTCTCGCCTCCACCGCCAGCACGGAACAGCGTGGGGCACGTCGTGTGGTCATCGGTGGTGTGGAAGGGATCGACATCGCGGCGAGCGCATCCACCACTGTCTCCGCCGCTGCACCGCCTCAGCACTTTAAAGTTCCGGCCGCTGTTTTGCATCGCATCCAGCATCAGCAGCAGCAGGATGATCATCAGCCGGTGACATCTACTACGACTACCACCACCGCGACCTCTGATGTGTTGGCGGCAGCGGCTTCGTCTACCCGTTACGATGCCCGCCAGACAGGCTCAATGACGTGTGCGACAGAGCCCGCCACACGCGCCCCGTCCGATGAAGCGGTACAGCATCCTCGTCGCTCGTCTTCTCACCCCGCGGCCCCAACTCTGGAGAACGGCTCCCATGCTGTGCAGAAGGCGCACCTCGCTACGAAGCCGCCAACACGCGTTGCGCAGACACCAGCGAACGCTGACGGGGTGGTGGTCGAGGAGGTGAGCGAGGCGGACATTGCAGCCACCGTAGCGGCGCTGAAGGCCGTCAGCGCGCACCACGTGGAAGGCATCCGCACCACCGGCACCACGACAACGTCCACCGCCACCGCTGCGCCGCCTATTTCTTTCTCTGTAACAGGTGCGACGAAGCACAACGGGGACGAACAGTCAGGGGCCGTCGACGCCGCCGCTCCCGCCGCCAAGCCCAAACCTGTCGTTTTCTCTCATCAGTGGCGCCGGCAGCTTTTCGCAAAGGCGGGCACCGCCTACCCGTCGCTGCCGCATCCACCGGGCAAAAGGCACAGGGCCGCCTCGGAAAGGGAGAGCAGCAGCACCGACGCGGAGGCGGACGACGACGACGAACTCGCCTCTCCCTTTGGGAGTGCCAACGTGATCAAGTTTGACAAAAGCGAAGACGAGACTCGCCATTTCAATGGCACGGCCGCCATGCAGTCCAGCAGCCGAAGCAGCAGCAGCGGCAGCGACGGTGACGATGACGGTTCGGCGGGGTGGGGGGAGGACAACACGACGCGTGCGCAGCAATCGGGTCAACAGGCACGGCATGCGCAGCGGCAGCGGGCCCGTGAGGCACGTGAGAAGGAGCGCGTGCAGCACCACATGACCGGCTTTGATAAGGAGTTCCTCCGTCAAGAGGAAGCCAGGCTACTGCGGGAGCCCGACGATGACGATGATGAAGAGCAGGGGGCAGACGTCGAGGACGACCGCGACGGTGGTTCCTCTTCTGCGGCAGCCTTCAGTGACGCCTCTGGAGATGCCGAGAATGAGGAGGAAGAAGGCGGCGCGGATGAGGAGGGCAGCGATGCAGGCGCGGAGTCAGAGACGTCGTCTCAGGCCGGCGGTCATTCAGCACAGGACGGAGACGCCGATGACGAGGAGGAAGGCCACACAGCTTCCGAGACTGTCTCGGTTGGGCAAACAGTGGACGATGCCACTTCTTCGTCTTTGCATGCACAGCAGGTCGGTGGTTTTGGCGCGATGCGCCGCGTGCGTCAGCAGGAAGCCGAAGAACGACATGGTCGTGCCGAGCAGCAGCGAGGTCAGAACAAGGACAACAACGTTAAACGCGTGTCGTCTCCCGCGATGAAAGCCGATCCGGCTTCTGCGGCTTCAGCCCCTCCCCACGCATCCCTCTCCGCCCTGACGTCCCACAGCATCGGCGCCCGCTCACACTGGTTCGACTCCTTCTTCTTCGCCGTCCACGAGGACCGTCTCCGCAAGGGTGGGTGCCACCACACGCTGATGGGGCTGCAGGGCCCTGTGGCGATCCACGGCCCCTGCGGTCTCATCGGCTTCGGTCTTGGCGAAGTGTGCGTGAATGGCTTTTACCTTGGAAAGAAGCAGGTGAATCTCTGGCACGAGGAGCACCACGCCGTGCTGATGCCGATGAAGAAGCTCAAGACGAAGCACGCGCAGGATGTGGAGCTACCGCGGTGGACGCACGTGCCGGACCCTGCGTGGCCGCCTGGTCCGACACCATCTCCCACGTCGCCCCTTACCGCAAGCAGCGCGGAGCACGTGCTGGGCCTGCCAGCGCACGTGCGTCCTTACTCGGCACTGTCGTCACCGCCGCAACAACGACATTCAGAAGCTGCCGCCGCCGCCCCCGCCAACGTGGACGCTGCGGTGAAGAGCAGTAATACTTCCAAGGAAGAGGAAGAAGAGGACAACAACGCGGAAAGCTACCTGCAGCCACTGCAGTGGAACTGCGAGGCCGTGTTTGGCGAGATCGATTGGGACTGGGTGGAGGCGACGGTGCAGAGCTGGCGCAACCTGTTCTCGAACAAGATGCCGCCGATCCTCCTGGCAGTGCAGCCGTCGTCGGCGACGAGGCGGCCACGTGGGGTGCCCGGCCCGATGCGCAAGTACTATCTCTCCCGCAAACGCATTCGCCACCACCGCGCAATGGAGACCAAAAATGCAGTGCAGGGCGGTGCGTACATGGACATCCCCTCCTTCGTCGCACACCGCAGCGAGACCACCGTCGATCTGGCGCTCTTACCCGCTATCGTGCCGGCCGTCGCGGCGCAGGGCTGCGGGTGTGTGATGGTGCTGGGCTCCGCCAACATCGGCAAGTCCACCCTATGCAGGTTTCTCACCAACGTGCTGCTGAGCCAGCATGGGCTGTGCTACTGGCTGGACCTGGACGTGGGCCAGCCCGAGTTTGGTGTCCCCGGGCAGTTCACACTGACCCTGGTGCGACGCCCTCTGCTGCGCGAGCGGGACGCCAGCTGCGGCCGCACCGTCGCCTCGTTTTTCATTGGCGCCAACACCGCCGCGTCGTGCCCCGCGTCAACGGCGAACGCGCTCGCAGCGATTTGCGCGCAGGCGGCGGCCATCGCGCAGGATCACCCGGTTGTGGTGAACACGCACGGGTGGGTGCTGCAGACAGGTCGGCGTGTCACGGTCGAGGCCCTGCGTCGGCTGCGTCCGCGGCAGCTCATTCACCTTTACCAGGCGAAGGAGGAGGCGTGGGCGCAGGACACAGCAGCCCTGCTGGATCCGCGAAATGGGCTGAACGCGGACGTCGTGCAGCGTCGATTTCTGGTCCGCCACACCGCGATGAGGTCGAATGACGACGACGGCGAGGACAGCAAGCAAAAAGATCGTCGTGTGAAGAGAAACGCGAAGTCGCACGTGATGAAGAACGTCACGGATCCTGCGGCCGCCGCGCCTTCTTCCGCCGCTCTCCTGTGCCGCCTTCCCTTCTCGCACGCTTTCGACGTCGCGAGCACGCGTGAGCTCTCCGGCCCCGACTCGCCGGTGGTCTCGCCGAACTCGCCTCAGGCCAGCCGCCCCAGCGGTAAAACTAAAAGCGATAGCAAAGGTGCGGTGATTCCTTCGCACACGTGGCGTGGGCAGGTGCACGCCGTCCGGGTGGAGCGAGAGGAGACGTACTCCTCCACTCAGATCCTCAAGGCAACGAAGGGCAGCCATGGACGGCAGCAGCGGTGGCAGACGTACTTTGCCCCTCTTCTGCACTTCTACGCCCAGCGCGGTGCGGGCGCCGCGAAGGCGCGCCGGGCGGGGGCGGAGACGACGCTGCTGGAGGCTCCGCTGTCCTCGCTGCGCTCCATTGTGCTGGCGGAGCGGGACGAGAAGGCAGGCGAGGTGCATCTGTATCCGCCCCACGTACGCACCGCGTCTGCCGTCGCGGTCGCGGCTCGCCAGACGCGCGCGGAGGTGGCCGCCGCACTGGAGCACGCGGTGGTGGCCGTGCTGCTTCATCAGCCAGCTGAGGCGCCATCGTCGTCGTCGTCGTCTCCCTCCTCGGCGGTGGGTCGCGGCGGGTGTGTGGTGCGCAGTCTGGCCTCCCTGCCCTACGGCTTCCCCGTCACGTGCTACGGCGTTGTCGAAAGCAGCGAACAGGAGCTTTTGCGCGGCAAAGAAACGACCGCCGCCGCAGAGGTCGGCGTGACGACGGATACGGCGTCCGCCGATGGGTGGATACGTCTGCGTGTGCCGCTGCGACCGGCCGTGGTGGCGGCCATGTTCCACGCGTGTGCTGCGCCGTCCGCTGCTGAGAAGAGCTCAACCGGGGAGTTGGACGCCGGTGCCACGCAGATCTCCATCGCCTACAGCGCCGCCTTGCGACAAGACACCTCGTTTTTCGATGAGTAGCGGTACGTCTATGTTCGCGCAGAAGGACCGGTGCGTTCATTCTAAATGGCTAAATTTAAAGGAAGAAATGTCGTAGAGCTATGTTTCGTTGGGCTCGTGTTTTTAACTGTCTCGATTAACTATGAAGAGCGATAAGAAATGCGGCGTCAGGGCGTCGCAGCCCTAAGATAAAAGAAGAGCAAACATGTGCGAAAGAAAATACTGTCGTTGTCTATACATTTCTGAGGTCTGATGTACAGATGAACGGTATTGATGGCAGAGGGAGGAGAGGAAGAGAGGGGGAGACAGCTGCCGTGTGGCAACAAGCAGTTCTGCGAGCTGCGCCATCGTTTTCTTTCCGTCTCTGTCTCCCTCTGCGTTGATGCCGTCATCTCGCTAGGCATCGTTTGAGGGGTGCGTTGGGGAGCTAAAGTCAACACCACCAGATGATGATGATGGCCGGTGGTGAAATTTTTCATTCGTTCGTGTATTCACGGCGCTGTTCCCCCCCCCCCTCTCTCAATGTCTCTCTCGTGTTTGCATGCTTGTGCTCTCAGACGGCAGAATGCGACGTGTGCCGACTCCCTCTTCAGTTCCATCTACTCGTGTCTCCATTCCTTTTCCACTTCTTCTTGATTTTTGTTTTTTCCTCTCTTGGTGTCGCGCCCACACATGCCAGTGCGTCGTCGGCTGCCGCTTGGCCGCTTTCAACACTTGAGCAGGTACACACATACACACATACACATCCACTTCCACACACTTCTTGTTTTTGAGTTTTTTTTTTAAATTCCCTCAGTGCTGTTCTTGTTAACTACAATAGCAAAGGGGGGAGCATCATGATGCGTGCTAGCGAGGCTGACGGCGTGAGAAGGCGCCGACGGGAAAGGACCAGGAGCTGCACCCGCCTCTCGCCAAAGATGGGGGTGCTCGTTTTGCTAGTGGCACTTTCCCTTTCGGTGTTACTACTACCTCTGCTGCCGCGTGTGACCGCGGCGCAGGTCAACGAGGATTCCGTGACGGCAGAGGCGTCTCCTGTTGACAGGGCGGACTTCACACACGGGACCCTCTCCACCGCTACAGAACCCGATGCCGCTACTGCTGCTGGCACTGCTGCTGATGCTGGTGCTGGCGCTGCTTTGATGGATAAGGATCATCACGAAACACACACAAGTGCAAGCTCTGTCGCATCGCCGTCCTCAGCAGAGACACCTGCGACACCGGGTGCAGTGCACGACAAGCCGGAGAAAATAGAAGGCATGCATGTTGCGGAGGACGCTGTTCGAGCACACGTTGCCTTGTCTGCATCTGACACCGCGTCCTCAACGGCAGACGACGAGCTGCCGGGGAAGCCCTTAGACGCAGGGAGCGCTGACGTAACCCGGGCGAGTGTCAATGAGGCGGTGCTCACCGACGCGGAAGAAAAGAACGCGTCGTTGGCCCATCTGAGACACGATAGCGCTGAGGAGAGTAGAAGGGAGCTTCCCGACATTCAGGCTGCGGGGGCCTCTAGGAAGTCGGTGAATACGGCGTCAGGCGTCGAGTCCAACGTGACCGCGACGGCGCCGTGCGACGTCGGCACCACCGCCACCGCTGCTGCTTCTTTTATTGATGCACCGACAGCGGCGTGCGAGAAGGGCGCCTACGCATCCACTGCAAATACGGAGCCGGAGGAATCTCCCGTCGAGACGCCACCGCCGCATGCGTCGCGGTCGACCCCCCAAACGGTGACCGCATCTTCTCCTGTGCTGGACGAGGCCGCCCCAGACGCAGGGCTCTCGTCGAAGGCCTCACCGGCACCGCAGGATCAACAGCAGGAACTGCCCTTGCACGTCGCAGACCGTAACGTAGAAAGCCCTCCGCAACACGACGGTGCTGTGGATCAGATGGGCCGGGATCTGTCTTCCCCGCCGCCATCCGAGGCACCTGCGACGTTTCCTTCCGCACGGCATGACGTGGCCGGAAGCACACACGAGGAAAGCGCATCGCTGCATCTGACAGAGGCGGAGAGAGGCAGCAAAACCGCCGAAAACTCCGACACGATCACCGCCCCAGCACCGGCGTCTAGCGAGGCGGAGGCTGTCAAGGAGCAGGAAGAGGAACCGTCGCCGTCACCGGTGGGAAGCGCAGGTTTGCCAGGCGCAGCTGCGGCGCCGACAGGGCGTTCTGCGCACGCCACGCAGCAGCAGGAGCACGCAGTGCCCGTAGAGGCCGTCAGCCCACCCTCCCGCAGTGAGGCGCTGGACAATACGCCGGAGACCGTGACGGAGGCGACGGCCTCTTCGACGGATCAGCCGGAGCCGGCCTCTCCCCCAGAGACCGCCGGTCCGGTGGCCCCTGAAATATTTATTTCCGCTTCGGAGGGAGTTGCAGACGGCAGCTCAGCGCCTGCTGCAGCGACAGCCGACCCGCACGGCTGGGCAGACAGCGTGCGTGAGAATGAGTCCACGATGGAGCAGGAGGCGGCAGACGCGTCCGCCCCGCATGCCTCTGCGCACGCCGTCCTCGCCGTAGCCGCAGAGGACCACGTCAGCAACGCGGCAGAGGTGTCTTCTATCCCGCAGACCCCGCCCTCCTCCTTCGCCGAGGCACCGCCGCGCCATCGAGCCGCACCGCCCTCCCGTCTTGCTCTCTCCTATCTGTACTACCGCGCCCTCGAGGCCCTCTACGTGGAGGAGAACGCGACCCTCTTCGTGCGCCGTGCGCGCGACGCTGCCCCGTACGGGCACGCGCGACTGAACTGGCTGCTAGGCGTCCTGCACGCCTACGGGGTCGGGGTGCCGCGGAGTGAGCGGGAGGCGCTGATGTACTACTCCTTTGCGGCGATGGAGGGGGTGCCGGAGGCGCACATGGCGCTCGGCTACCGCTACCGCAACGGCCTCGGCGTGCAGGCGAGCTGTGAGGCGGCGCTGGCGCACTACCGCGAGGCGGCTGATGCGGTGGCGATGACATACGACGGCAGCGCCGCGGACTTGGAGGGCCGCTCGGTGACGGACCTGGTGGGGGCGCGCACCCTCCTCAGCGGCGGCCGCAGCGTTCTGTCCTTCTTCACCTACCGCGACAACATGGCCAACTCGGACAGGATGAACCAGGCGCAGCGAGATTTGCTCTCCCTCATCTACCAGGCCGACCGCGGGAGCCGGCAGGCGCTGCTGACGCTGGGTTACGTGTACCTGAAAGGCAGTCACCAGGTGCGCCGTGATGGACGAAGGGCGGAGGGGTATTTGAAGCAGGCCGCGGCGAAGGGGGTTGCGGAGGCGCACGGGGCGTTGGGCAACCTCTACACCGCCGGTGATGCCTCCATCGATCCGCCGCTGCCACGCGACCTCGCCCGGGCCTACCACCACTACCGCCTCGGTGCGGCGCAGAAGGACGCCGTCTCTCTCAACGGGATTGGATTTCTGCACGCGATCGGCTACCTAGACAACGACGCGCGGCATGCACCGCCGGTGTCGTCCGCGCCGACGGACAACGCATCGTCTCCCTCACACACGTTTGGTGCCGACGCTGCTCACCCACCTGACTTCGCATCGGCCGCCCGCTACTTCGAGCAGAGCCGCTCGCCGGAGAGCATCTACAACCTCGCGGTTCTCCACCTGTACGGCCGCGGCGTGGCGCAGGACCGGGCGGCGGCGCAGCGTCTCTTCTGGAATGCGGCGCACGGCGGTAGCGTGTTGGCACGGTGGCAGCTGGCGCACTTGATTGACGACGTCGCTGAGCAGGACGCCGGCAAGTGCGAGAGGGCGTTGGAGCTGTACAAGGAGACCGCCTCGTACGGTAGCTGGAATCGTGAGATGGCGGGCGGCGGCGGCAGTGGTGCTGGTGGCCTGGGAGCCTCCGCGGCATCGTCTGCCCCGGTGCGTGGGCCGGGCAGCGACGCGGATGTGAATGAGGAAGGCAGCGCGGACGGTGCCAGCGGCGATGCACACGCGACGGATCCTGCGAGGACGGGAGGGGGTCACGGAAAGAGTTCGAGGGCCACGGACGCGGACGCATCGTCGTACAACGACGGCCCGTCCGCGCCGCACACCAACGCCGATTACGAACGCCTGCTCAGTCACATTCGGAGTCGCCTTCAGGCCGTCGAGGAGAGTCTGCGCCTGTCCGACAGCGAGGACGGCCCGGCGGTGGTTTCGCTCGCCTCCTTTGTGGAGCTGCTGAGTCTTGCCGAGACGGGTGACGCGTCATCGACCTGGCTGGCCGCGCGGTTCGTGGAGGACTACCTCGAAGTCGAGGTGGAGAAAGAGGAGGAGGCGGCACCGGTGGAAGGCGAGGTGGCGTTGCTGTGGCCCGCTCCTTCCTCGTCGGTCTTCCTGTCGCCCGCCGCGGCGAGAAGTGAGCTGCTCTTCTACCTGCTCCAGCGCACGGTTCTGCACCCGCGGCATAGGGGCGGGGCCCACGGTGCTGCGTTCCTCCGCCTCGGCGACTTCTTCTACTACGGCGAGGCGCCGCGGTACGGTGTAGACATGGCACGTGCGATGGAGTACTACCGACTTGCGGCGGACATCTACCACGACCCACAGGCGCTCTTCAACGTGGGCTTTATGTACCAGCTGGGGCTGCACAGGGCGCCCCATGCAACCCTCCTATCCGCTGAGAACGACTCCAATGAGAGCCCAGCGGGGCGAGGCGGGGTCTGGAAGGTCCACTCGGATCCACCGTACTACCTTACCGGCGCCCCTTCCGTGTTTCTTGCCGCACAGGCCGCAGCGCGCGCGTGGGATCGCAGCAGTTCCAGCCCCACGTCGCGCGGCGTCAACGTCTATCTCGCGTGGCGCTACTACACGGAGTCTCTGCGGCGAGAGGGGCGGGGGTGGATGGCGGTGCAGTTCGCGCTCCTCACCGTCAACGCGCAGTGGTCGCTGCGCCACTTTGGGCTCTCCCGCCTCCTCCCGGCGCTGCCGAGCTCGCCGGGCTTTGCGTTTCCACTGGGCGGGTCTTCGCTGACGTTGAGCGACGGCGAGGAGGACAGCGGGGTGGGCACCGACGTTGCGCAGGCCTTCCTTCGCTCTCTCACGACGGTTCTGCACGCGGAGGTGAGCTTCGTCTACGCCGTGCTCGCCGACGTGGCCACCGCGCTGGTGGCGTGGTGCGGGCAGGTGGAGCAGGTCGTTCTGTACGGTGCCGTTGGCGTGTTTGTGCTCGCCCTGCTCGTACGGCACCACGCTGTCTGAGAGGGGGAAGAAGAAGGTCATAGTAAAATGTGCTGAGAACAGCGCTACACAACCTTCCTTTTTTTATTATATATTCTAACCTGACTAAAGAGTCGCACGTAGCGCGGCTTTTAGTCCCCCCTCTCCCTGCAACGCTCTGGGCCTGTTTGCTGCTGCTGCTGCGAGGCGGGGGCGTCATCTCCTCAGTCATGTGGTTGAGATTTCGTGTTTCCCTTCGTTGTCTCCGCTTATCTTCATTACTGTTGTTACCAATGCTTTTATTACTATTATTATTTTTTTATGTTTGCGTCCACTTGGTGTGTGTTGGATCTGCTGGGCTTTGCACGTTAATGCGCACATACAAATACCGGACTGCGGTCACCTTCGCGACGACAAAACGAAAGGCAATAACAGGAGGAGGGGAGATGAGACCTCGCCTTTTTTTTCTTGGGAGGGAGGGCGAACACCTTCATCAAACCTTTTTCCTAAGCGACACTGCATAATGCGAACGGCCACAAAGAGGATGGGTCGTAATGGCTCTCGTAGGTGCTTGATGGTGATCGCACAACATTTGTAGTTGAACGTACGACCCTCGGTCGTGCAAAGACAGGCAGCGCAAACACAGCACGCCTCGTCTTGCGTCCTCCGTCGAAGTAAGTGTTCGGTTTCTTGCTGTCTTGATGCCTTTGCTCTCTTTAAAAGTTTATTCTTTGTCTCTCTCTCTCCTCTCTTCTCTCACTGCCTTTGCGACGTCTTCCCTTCTGTATGTGCATGTGGGTTGTTGCGGCGCTTTAAGAAAACGAAATCGCCCCCTTTACCGTGACGCCCACGAACCGACTCGCTCCTTCTTCTCCCTCCTTCTTCTCCCTCCTCCCTCCCCCCCCCCTCTGCGCAGGCGGGCCACCACCAAGCGTCCTTCTTCTCTTTATGCTGGCGCGCACTAATTCGACTGCGGAGGTTAAAAGCACCGATTTGAACAAGAAGAGTACTCACATTTTTTAAAAGTCCTTTCTGTTTTTTACGTAGCGGACGTAGTAGTAACAAGAGAAGTGGAATCTGCGGTGGAGGTGCGCGCACCCACTCCGGTGAGGGACGATCCGTCGTGCTCCTTCTTCTTTTCCCTTTTTCTCTCCCTTTTTCTGGGGGTAGGGACGGAATAGTATTCTGAAAGAAGAAGAAAAATAATAATAGCAGGGAGGAGAGTGCGCGGAGCCGCTTCACCGAACGAATACACAAGAAAGAAAGAGGGCAAGTCGGCACACTGCCAACTACTCGTCTCGCTGTTTTTCTCACTTTTCAGGATTCTGTTGCTTCTGGCTTTGGCCTCTTGTCGTCTATCCTTTCAATTTGTTGGCGGGACGTGAGTTTCTATTCATCAGAGGAGAGGGGGGTACTCGCTAGCACAAAAAACCGACGAAGCAAGCCGCACTTTTGGTATCAACGGTGCGCGACACACAGTTGCGCATTCCGTTTTTCTTTTTCTTTCTGGATGTTGCGGCCTTTTCCTGTTCTCCCCCTTTCTTTCTTTCTGACCCCAGTCAGCCGTTTCGGGGTTGTCGCGTTGCATGCGTAGCATCGGACTGTGTGCCCCCATAACGCCCTGTCTCTCCGTAGTGTGTTTTTCATTCATCATTATTGTTAGTTATTTATTTCTCCGTTTTCGACGTAAAAGAAATTTCGCTTCGTACGTGCTACTTCCTGCGAGGAGGAAAGAGAACGAGCCTTATCCACTTATTTATTTACTACGTTGAGTCCTGTTGCTGCTGCTGCTGCTGCTGTGATTTTTGCGAAAACAAAGCGCCCCTGAGTGCACATCTATATACATTGACAAGGGGCGCTCGTCTTCTTGTTCTCCTTTTTCCTACGCCCTTTTCCCTTTTTTCTTTAGCTTTCCCCTTCGCTTTACTTAGTCTTCGTTTTATGTTTTCCTCCGTTGCCTAACCCGAATAATCCAGAGCTGGAGAAAAGAACTACATCATGCTGCGTTGTACGGCGCGGTATTTATGCGCCGCCGCTGCGGCGGGCGGTGCGTCTTCGTCCGAAGTGAGTCGAGACATTGAGGAGTTCGATGTGGTGGTGATCGGTGGTGGCCCAGCCGGTCTCTCCGCTGCGATCCGCCTGAAGCAGCTAGCCGGAGAGCAGAAAGATTCGTTCCGCGTCGGTCTCGTGGAGAAGGGCAGCGAGATTGGCGCCCACGTTATGTCCGGCGCGTGTGTAGAGCCGCACGGCCTGGATGAACTGCTGCCCGGCTGGCGGGAGAAGGAAGGCTCCATCTTCTCCTCCCTCACACCTGTCACGCGAGATGCGTTTCACATCTTGACGGGGCCGACGAAGAGCGTGAAGATGCCGTGGCTGCCGCCGAGCCTGCACAACGGCCGCAACTTTATCACGTCGCTGGGCGGGGTGTGCAAATGGCTTGGGGAGGAGGCGGCGGCCCTCGGGGTGGAGGTCTACCCAGGTTTCGCCGCCGCGGACGTCGTGGTGGACGACACCACCGGCGCCGTGACGGGGGTGCAGCTGAACGACATGGGTGTGAGTAAGAAGGGCGAACGCACGGCCCAGTACGAGCCCGGTATGATCTTCAAGGCGAAACAGACGATCTTCGCGGAGGGCTGCCGCGGGTCGTGCACGAAGCAGCTGGAGAAGCGGTTTGGGCTGCGCAGCGACGACAACCCGCAGACCTTCGGCCTCGGCATCAAGGAGGTGTGGGAGGTCCCGAAGGAGAAGCATCACCCGGGCACCGTCATGCACACCGTCGGGTGGCCAACGACGGACAAGGGTCACGAGAACACCTACGGCGGCTCCTTCCTCTACCACTACGGGGACGGCTTGGTGTCGTGCGGGTACGTGGTGGGGCTGGACTACGCGAACCCTTACTGTCGGCCATACATGGAAATGCAGAAGTGGAAGACACACCCGCTCGTGCGAGCGCACCTGCACGGTGGCCGGCCGATCCTGTACGGCGCGCGGGCGCTGGTTGAGGGCGGCTACCGCGCCCTGCCAAAGCTTCACTTCCCTGGTGGGGTGTTGGTCGGCGACTGCGCTGGGTTTTTGAATCTGCCGAAGATCAAAGGCACCCACACCGCCATGAAGTCTGGCATTCTGGCGGCGGAGGCCGTGTACGACGAGGCCTTCAAGAACGGGAAGGAGGCGGCGGCGCCGGGCGTGGACTGTGCGAGCTACGACACCCGGTTCCGCAGCAGCTGGCTCCACAAGGAGCTCTACCAGGTGCGCAACGTCCGGCAGAGCTTCCACGAGAACTTCTTCTGGGGGATGGCCTACACCGGCGTCACCACGGCGGTGACGAAAGGCATGGAGCCGTGGACGCTGAATCACAAAGGTCCGGACAGCGCCTCGCTCAAGCCGGCGAAGGACTGCACGGAGATTGAGTACCCCAAGCCGGACGGCGTCCTCACCTTCGATTTGCTCACAAACCACAGCCGCAGCGGCACCGCCCACAACGCGGACCAGCCGTGCCACCTGCGCCTGACCGAGCCGAAGGTGGCGGAGGCAGTGAACTTGAAGACGTACGCCGGGCCGGAGTCCCGCTACTGCCCCGCCGGCGTCTACGAGTTCGTGGACGGGAAGCTGGTGATCAACGCGCAGAACTGTCTGCACTGCAAGACGTGCGACATCAAAGATCCGACGCAGAACATCAACTGGGTAGTGCCGGAGGGCGGTGGTGGTCCGAACTATCAAGGGCAGATGTAATATTCCTACCACTACTAAATCAATGAAAGCCGTCTTCGGTGCCTTTCCCGAGAAGCGACGCGATGATGGCGGTGATGGGTGACGGTGGCATGCGCGGACGTGTCCTCTTTCTTTTCTTCCTCTTTGCTTCCTCTTCACAAGGAAGCAAACAACCCCACAAACAGACAAGATCTCAAGAGGAGGAAAGCTGCGTGCTATCGCTGGCTATCTGGAGAGCTAAGAGAGACCCTTGCATCACAGATGCGTTGACGTTGCTTCTCCAGTGATCGCTGCCTCGTAGTATTTCTGCATACTTCTATAGCGAAGAAGCTTCGTCGGTACACGCGTATATAACCTTTCGCACATCCACCCACAACACACCTGTGTGCCGTACTTGTGTATATATACAGTCTTCGCTAGATCTATATGCGCTCATTGTAGCTACCACTCTTTTCTTTCTTTCTTCCTTTTTCTAAATCGGGTCCTGGTGCCCACTTTCTTTCCCCGCATTTTTTTTTCTTTCTCTCTCGATCGAAGACGGCGTTCCGCGTTGAAGCGGTAGGGAATGTGGGAGGTGAAGGAGGCAGGGGGGCGAGGCACCGGCGACTTACACTGACAGCGCTTTTCTTTTCCTTTCCTTTCTATTATTATTATTGTTTATTTGTTTCTCCCTTCTCTTTCCTCTCTTCCGTTATACTTCAACGACTAACCGCCTTTCACCTGGCCGTGTTGCTGCCCACGCGTGAGGCGTTCTTTGCTCTACCCCCCTTTTTTTGGCTTTACAGTTCCGGTGGGTGAAATCCCTTCTTTTTCTTTTACACGCCTGCGCTGTCGCCGCCACTCTACTGAAATCTCTTTTGCGTTCCTTCCTGTGGCCGTCGTGGGAGGCCGATGCTGGGCTGCCGGTGCTGCCCCCCTTCTTTTTCTTTCTGTTCTCCGAAACATACACACACACACACACTCACGCGGAGTGACACGTATATATCTATATCTATTTCTATCTATACATGCACGGACAATAAACCACCCCATTATATGCGGCAACCGTTTTTAACTCGCCGGCTATAAGAAGAGCCGGTTCTGAAGGCGCCAAACGAAGAGAAAACGAGAGTCAGGGTTGATGTCGACTTCGCTGCATTCGATAAAGCAGGGACATTAAATGGAGACCGTGGGAAAAAGAAAGACACAGTTTGGTACTGTTGGTGGTGTTGGGCTCCGTCCCGGAAGAGCGGCAGGGCACCCGAAATTGATGGGCTCTCCTCACGTGCTCTGCGGTGGCTGCTATGGATGCGCTTACGAAACTTGGAGTTTATGAAGAGTGGTCTTCGGCGGTTCTTCTTCGAAGGCACACGCAAACAAACCAAAGAAGAAGAAAAAAATGATCACTCCCGCATTTTCATCTCGTCTTACTCTCACACACGTCGTATTTCGCCCTGACGGACTGCAGTTCATGTTTACGTGACGGCCCATCTCTTTCTCTGCTTTCCCCCTTTTTCCGTTTTTCTCCGGAAGACGCATTGCTTCCTTTCGGGCGCTTCACCGGTGACGTTGACGACGACCGCCCCCGCACGCAGGGCCGGCAGCCGCACAGCGCAACACAGACGTTTGACAAAGCCTCCTCGACTACGAAAAAACCCCAATTGCAAATACAAGTACACCCACTGCTAAGATGCTCAACTGTTTCTTTGGAGCGGAGCTGAAGCCGGACGGGGTGGCGGTAAACTTCACGGTGCCGAGCGGGTCGTCGCTCGTCATCACGCAGTGCGCCGTCACCAGCATCGTACCGCCCCGTCCTGTTGAGCCGGAAGGCGCGGCGGACGCCTCGTCCTCCCCGGTGCCTGCCGTGGCCGCCACAGCAGGCGTCTCCACCTCCGCATCTGCCGCGTCTCCCTCCACTGCCAACGCGTACAGCCCGGTGACGCTGTGCGTGCAGGGCCACGGCATGCCGACCCGCTTCGCAGTCTGCACCTTGTCCCCTGCGCAGCAGATCACCTACTGCCCTCTGCAGCTGATCTTTTCGAAGCCGGTCTCCTTCTCCTTGGTGCCGCAGACGGTGCCCATCGCTTCTCCGGGAGCGGCGGCAACTGCAGCAGCCGCGGCGACGGCGGCACCGCCTACGCAACTGCGCCATTTTGGAAGAAAGAGCCACCGCCAGCAGAACAGTGAAAAGGCGGAGTTGGGCGGGGCTGCTGCGACGGGGGGCGCTGCTGCGGCTGCTGCGTACCCGACGGTGCATCTGACCGGGTATTACGAGCAGGCGGCCGATGACGACGAAATGGATGATGGCGGCATCGCCATGGAGATGATGGAGGGGGACGACTCCTCTGACGACGATGAGTAGGAGCGAATATGAATGGCAAGGTGCGTGCGTGGGGCAAGGAGGCGAGAGAGGAGACGTGGACAGGGCAGTTCTTTTTTCTTTTTCTCCTGAACGGAGGACTCGCGGGGTCAATGGAACGTTGCAGCACAGCGCACAGCAGCGCACACTCAGCAGCAGCGAAAAACGTTTCCACGTGAAAGTCATCGGCTGACAAAGGAAGAAGACGCCACCCCGTCTCGGGCGTCCCTTTTCTCTCTTCTCTCTCCTCGCTTAATGTGGCGGTTTGTACGCGCTGTCTTTCGGTGGTTCGCGCTGTAACTCCAATGGACCTCGCGTGACGGTGCGTAATGCAGCGGTGCGGCTTTGCGGAGATTGTGTAAGAAGGTAATAAAGTTCTAAAGAAAAAACGCGGGCTTCTGCGTGGCCAAAAAGGTAAAGAAATAGTAGCAAGAACAACAACAGAAGTAACATGAAGAGGGGCCAATCGTGGTACGAAAGAGAGCGCGTCTCAATCCACGCACACGCACACACACAAGTTGAGATGACGGCGGCTGTCAGCTTTCTTTGTCACTATATATACATGTTTCTTTGGCAGAGGGAGAGAGCGAGATCGTACACCTTCTCCGTCCTCTGTGTGGCGGGTTGGTCTACGGGGTTCGCCCCACTCCGTCTTGGCCACGCCGCTGCTGTCAAAAGTGGGAAGAAAGAATGAGAATGAGGAGGGGGCGGCTGTACGCTCGCGTGCGCGTGTGCGCGCGGTTGTGCAGCGTCTCGGCCTAAATTGGCGCGTGTGCGCAGCTCCGCAGCAGCAGAAAGAGCGAGTGCGAAAAGCGTAGAAGAAGAGATAATGAAGAATAAGAACTGACCGAAGCCGGCGCTTCCGACTTCGCTCCTTCGTACGACGGCGATTCTCTCCTGCCAACGTAAACTCTCCCCTTTTGTTTTCTCCATGCACACCGACGCCTGTGTCTCCGTTTGAGCAATCTCAGCAACTCAACACACCTTGCGAAGAAAACGAAGCATTTGTGTTCAGCGTCAAGCGTTCTACCTCACATTACCATCCAATCGGCGCCCCATACCTCACACGTCAAATCTTCACCTCTCTTCCATTTACTTTTTCCCAATGAAACCCGTTACCGTTGGTTTCCGCCTTCCCTCGCTGCGCGAAGCGTGTGCGAAGAACGACGCCACTCGCAGCAGCGACGCAGCCGCCGCGGCGCAGACGTTGGCCATCCCCTACGCGGTCGGCAAGGCAACGCTGCAGCTCACCGGCATTCACGTGCGTCTCCAACCCACAAAGACGCGGAGCAGTCCGAAGGCATTGAAGTCACAGAAGGAGAACTCCTCCTCTGCTGCTGCCGCTATTTCTTCTCCTGCGGTAGTGGGTGCCATTGCTGCGGATATCGTCGTGCACGCACACGTGCGAGGCGAGTTGAACACCGCTCCCCGCACGTACGTCATCGCCGTCCTGCCGGTTCGCTACGACGCCTCCCACAACGCTGACGGCACGACGCCCGGCAAAGCGCCATCGTACAAGGGAAAAGAATCGAAAGCGTCAGGCGCTGCCACTTCCGCCTCCTCGTCCGCCGCCCCGTACGACAAGCGCGTGCTGAACGCGCAGGCACGCGAGGCGCGTCGCGGTGTTGTGGCGCCCGCCTTCCCGTCCTCCTTTGCGAAGGTGGACCTGCGTACGCAGATGGAGCGCGTGCGGCTGAGCTTCACGGTGGTGCCGGTCGGGACGCTATCCACCGGTGGCGCTGCTGCTCATCGCGGCAAGCGTGGGCGCGCGGGGGACGAGGACGCAGCGGCAGCGGAGGCGGAGAAGCCGCAGCCGTCGCTGGTGGATTGCTTAGTGGATGTGACGGTGGTGGGAACGGCGTCTCCCATCGCGTAGAAGAAGAAAACGTTGGGAAAAAGTTCGAGGAGGAGAAGACGCCTTCGGGGTGAAGCGATGGCGGGTAATGGTGGCTGAGGGAGCGAGGGATACGTTCACACGAGCCGAAACGAAACAGTTGTGGGCGAAGCGGTAACATTAACTACGTAAGGATGAAACACACAACAACAAGAAAACAAACGAGAGCACCTCTGCCGCACAACTCCATGGCTCTCCAGCGTGAATGGTTGTTTGCGAGCAGCCTTCTATTCCTCCGGTACTCGCCGCCTTTGCATGCACTTGGTGGGTTCACACCGTCGTGCTGGTGTTGGGGGAGCGCCGCTGATTTGTGTAGAGGTTGCAATACTCCGTTCGTCGCCGCAACCGGCAACAGCAGAGGTATATATATATATTTATTGGAAAGCTATTTTTCTTACACGGCGCCGTGTGCTGCGAGCGCGTCTGTTGAACGCAGCATTCCGCGACGATCACTTTGGCGTCGCTGTCGCACGAACAGGGACGGCGAGGCGGACGGTTCTTACACCGCCGTCAACGAAGCTCAACGCGACCTTCTTCATCACTTTCTTTCTTTGGTCTCCCTCCCTTCCCTCCCCTTTTCCTCCTCCCTCCGCTCAACGTCAAGGCACGTATTCGTGTTTGTACGGTTATTGCGACACCGTCCCGTCGATCTCTGCCTGCTCTCAAGCTTTTCGTCTTCGTCCAGTCGCGTATACGGAGCGCTTTCCCATCTCGTATTGTGCGTCGGTGTGCGCGCGAAAGAGAGAAGGAATGCAGTTCGTTTGAATCTCCTAAATCATCAAAAAAAAAAACTGCTTTAAAAAAGGGTTATTTTTATATCGGAGTGACACTGCACGAACGGCTGCGGTGACTCCTTCGTCATTACAAGGCCGAGAAGGAGTTGCGCGCGGGTTACGCGGTGCTTACCTGCCATCCCGCGCGAGGACCGCACCAACGCGGCCGTCTTCCATTCACCACTGCCTGCGGAGCTCGTCTTTCTGCTTGATTTGTCTTTCTCTTCTTTCATTTTGATTCTTCCGCGTGCTGGTACGTTTGTTTTCTTGCAATGTCGTCTCGAACCCACATCGTTGATTTGGGAATGATGTCGCGGGAGCAGCTCATTGAAGTAGCCAAGAAGCAGGCGAACCAGATCCGCGAGAAGAACACGCGCATCTCCGCGATGGAGACGTTCATTGAGGGTGTCACGGGCACCTCCGCCGAGGAGAGTCTGCAGCGCACCTCAAGCGCCTACGCCGCCGCGTCGACGAACTCCTCCTTCGCCAGCGACTGCCCGCACGCGCGGCACCCGCTTTCCCACAGCCAACCGAACAACGACAGTAATGCCTCTGCGCAGCTGACGGAGCTGCGGCAGCTGCTGGAGGAGGAACAAGTACAGCACACCCTGCGCATCTCGGCACTGGAGACGCAGCTGCACGAGCGCCAGACGGCGTACGAGGCTCTACAGACGCAGGTGGATGGGTGGAAGGCAAAGGTGATGACCGCCATGACAGCCGACCGGGAACGCATTCAACAACTCGAAGGCCAGCTGGCCACCACGGACGCGCTTGAGGGTGTTGAGGCAGCGGCCCCGCCAGGTTCCACCGCGCCGAAGCAGGACGACGAGGAGGCAGAGAGCACACGCCTCGAACTGCAGTCACAGGTGGCGTTTCTCACGGCTGAACTGCAGGCGACTCGAACGGCGCTGCAGCAGGCCACCGATCAGCTCCAGCGACGACTGTCACCACCAATGACACCTCGCGAAGCAAGCGGCAACACTGCGGAGGCCGCACTCGCCGCAGAGCCCGCGAAGGCATCCTCACCGCCCGTCAGCCAAGCCATCATCGACCCTACCCAAATACCACCGGAGGTACTCAACGCCGCTGTCCACGACAGACTGGAAACGTGGAAGGAGCGGGCGAAGGCCACTTTGATGCGGGAAGCACGTCACATAGAAGAGCTCGAAGCACAACTTGCAGCCACCCAGCAGGAGCGTGATTCCGAAGCCGAGGCGCTGCGTGCCGACGTTGCGCGGCTGGAAGCACAGCTCGCCGCTGCCCAGCA